TGATAGAATGGGCAACATGGTGACTTCGCCCAATGTCGGCGAGATCTGCTGTAATCGGAGATGGTGTTAGCTCACGGTGCGGTTGAAGGAGTAACCCAATTAACCGGCTTCCGGTCAGCTGGAACTTGCAGTGATGATTGTCCAAAGCAGCGAACTTCCTCAGTCCTGACTCCTGCGAGGAGGAAGGCGGTCATTTTGATCTGGCCTGCGAGCGCGGACCGCCCTTCCGAGAACTGGAAATGGCAACGGAAGCGCCGGGATGGGGTTTGAAATCTCGATTTCGACCGCAAACACTGGAAGGCTGGACTTACAGAACCGACTCACCGTTCTGGAGCGGCGGAATTGCGAGTATAGGAACTCCGGCGATCGTCGAATGTCGCAGCAAGGAAAACCGACACCGTGGTATGTTCCGCGCTGCACCTGTCAGTGGCGGTTCGGGATGCGTATGAGAGGACCGTTTCAAACTGGACCACCGATATTAAATCGGACCAGGATGTTCACGTACCACGCTACGTACTCCTGACAATTCCCTGTGGTGCGCACTCGGAACCAGCGGCGGAACCAATCCGCTGGGCGGAAGGGCGACTTAGTAGTGTCGAAGATGCAAAGTCCATTAAGGAGGTGCTCACCAAAGAGAGGGCCTGAAGTGTATATAAGGCCCAGTGCTCTCGGTGAATCTCCATCTTCTCAACCCAGCCTCTTCTGCTCATACACATCGAACCGCAAACACCTTCGTAACACTCACCATGTTCACTACCAAGTTCTCCACTCTTGCGACTGTTGTCGTCATTGCTGTCTGTGCCAGTGCGCAGGGTCAGAGTAAGTCGACTTGAGGTTCAAGCTTCCAGTACCAATGAGACTTACCGTGCTTTGTTTGCAGGCGATACGAGCCTCCCTGCTGCCCCTTCGCTCCCGGTGAGCGGAGTCAGCACTCCTCCGGTTAGCCCGCCGGTCGGTGCGCCGTCGAACAGTCCGTCTGTCGCTGTTCCTGCAAGCGGCGGCCTCCCGGTCGCCGTGCCTTCAGACCTGCCTATCGGTACTCCGTCTATCACCCTAGGCCTGTCAGTCGACGCACCTGGGATCAGCCTCCCGGCCATCCCTTCTGGACTGCCCGTCGGTGCTCCATCGGCCATCCCGTCTATCAGCGTCCCCGTCAGTGTACCTGCCAACGCGCTTCCTACCAGCGGAATACCGTCGCTCCCAGTGAACGCGCCTGCACTCAACGCACCGTCAGTGGCGGGGCCCTCTGTCGCTGAACGCTTCGACAGCCAGCCCGCCGTCGGCACGCCCCCCGTTGGTGTGCCGTCCACCAGCACACCCTCTGTGGCCTTCCCTTCAGCGGCTGCCCCCTCGCTCCCGGTCGACCCACGGATCGTCGGTGCACCCTCGCCCCCGGTCAGCTCGCCCTCCGCCGGCGCACCGTCGCTCCCTGTGAGTGTGCCGACAATTACGCCCAATGCACTTGCGCTAGAGCTCCCGGTCGACACGTCCTCGCTCCCGGTTGGTGCGCCCTCGCCCTCACTTCCTGTGAGCAAGCCGTCGCCTTCCCTACCGGCCAGCGCGCCTTCGCTCCCGGTCAGTGTGCCTACGGGTAGCATGCCCTCGGTCACGCTCCCGGTCGCTACTCCTGCAATCAGCAACCCGGCGTCGACGGTCACGGAGACATTCACCCAGATGCTGTCGGGCACGCCCACCACCATCCTCACTCGCGTCGAGACCGTCACCGCTGGTATCCCGGCGCGTCGCGGCGACTACCACCCGCACGCCATCGTCGCTCGCGTCGATTGAGACGATAACTGAGTCCGCGACGATCAGGATCACCGCGGGTACCGCTGCTTGAGGAAATATACGGATGCCACAGAGCACTCCCATATGTATCGCTAGATGCCGCTTGCAGTCAGATCAAATAAGCCTCGTATTATTTTCTCACATACCTTTACTGTGTGATCGCACAAGCTTCAAATCGAGTCTGCAGCAAGCTCAAACGTTACGCCGATTGAGGTCTTCAGGACAACGAGGTACTGCTTACGAGACAATGAATGGATTAAGGGAAAGCCACATCCACAGCAAAGTGTACGACAACTATGATGGTCGATGCAGCTGAGATGCGTCCAGAGCAAGCTTACTCTCATCCGGGTCGTCCGCTGACGGTGACGAGTGCGTCGGCGTGCTCGTTCGACGGTGCTGCTGCCTTGCCTGGGACATTGCCCGAGTGCGGGTTGTATAGTTTTGCATGACGAAGAGTGCGATAGCCTGAATCATACGCACCGTTCAGCACAACGTTCCACCCTTGCGGGCCGGAGGAGGACTCATGGGGGAGTAAGCTGCGGGGGGCAAACGCGATGTATGGACGTACCAGCAGGACCGCACCCAGCATCAGCCGCTCCTTCCACCTGTCATCCAATCCTACGTCCAGCTCTGCTCTCCGCCTCTGCTTCGCGCGCCACATCGCCGTACTAAGATCGTGATAACTTGTCCGAGGGGCGGTCCCGAAGCCTTCCGAGTCGGCTCCATCGAGAGAGGCAGCGGGCTTCTTCCCAGAGAGGACGGCGTACGCGGAGGAGATGGCCTGGAAGCGTGCGTGCGCGGCTTCCGGTGAAACGCCCCCGGCGCGTGCAGCTGGTGAGTCGGGGTGGTATATTCGGACGAGGTCGTAGTCTGCGACATGTGTGAGGTGAGTACCGTGTCCGCTCGGGGGTCGAGGTTCTGAATGTCTACGCACATCGCGCCTTCACGTCTGCCCTGGTCGCGCTCTTCGGAAGGTGGAAGATTTGATGAGGGCTTGGATGGGTGTTGGTCGGAAAGGGGTACGGGTTTGCACTCGTGGACGCGGCTCTGGTCATTTGGAAGACTTGAGCGCACCGGGGCCGTCGGAGAGACCGGAGCACTTCGCTAGGTATTCTATACATGATCACAGAGGACGAGCCGCGTTATAGAAAGACAGGAACTGTAGTTCAAATGTAGCTCGGAGAGCAGACAACTGGTGAGATGCGCTTGAAAGAGACGGCCAAGGTTCAGTTTGCAGGGATGGTGGTGATCGCCGGAAGAGTGCGCACTGCGGAAGCGCTGGCTAGCTTGTACGCTTGCGCACTGACCTGGACAACGACCACGACCACGATGCACAAGGGATGCACCATACATAGGGTATGGTGGACCCTTCGCATTCCCTTCTTTTTCTCTAATCACAGACAGAGTGCTTTCGCCGAAGGTATGTGTGGAATTTATGGTGTATCACCTAACCGTCCACGTCCTGCTTCAGCCTCGAGAAGCACTTGGCCAGTGTTTAGGTTATATGAAGGTGAGCAATAGCACTGTTAATAGTGGGGTATATTCGTTACATAGCTGATATTTGCTCTGCAAGGAGTCTTCGTGAAGCAGCGCTCCATGTTGCCCAGCTTTGTCGACCACGCTCATGTGTAACCGCCGTCGGACTACTTCTATAATGGCGGTCTCTGGACATGATAAGGTGCGCATTCCCCAGATTTCGCTCTGTCCGAGCCTGTACGGTGAGCACAGTGAGCTACTCCACGCTCACCATCTCGCTCTTGCGGTCCCCGCTGACCATATTTAGACAGGATACGCTAGCATGCAGAAGCTGCCCGTGGGGGATCAACTCCAAATCTTCCGATTGGCATGCACCGATGGAGATTACACCGGCCGTTCCCTCTCCCAAACCTCGAGAGCGGTGAGAGCCGCCTCTCAGCCCGCCCGGTTCCACTCAATCGCGCTGTCGATCCGCGTCAGTCGGCTCGAGTCATTCATTACCTTACACCAGAAACTCTGCGTCCTGGATGATGGCACTCGTGCGGAGCTCATCCATCTTCATCTGGACGACAAGGACGAGGATGATGTGGATCCCAACGCAGACGACTCCGAAGCTCAGAGCTACGCTCAAGTTGTCAAGCTCCTACACCTCGTCGCCGACGACTTGGTGTCGCTCGTGCTGCCGTCAATACTGATGATGCCCTCGCCAACCCGCTCGGTGCAGCTCACAGATCGTCCATTTCCCTCCCTCAGATCCCTCATCGTGAACGTTCCCAGCGACAAGGGCACCTCCGCTCTGGCGACTCCGGTGGTGGCGATCCTCTTCCCCGCCCTCACGCACATGCACATTGTCATGTCCTCGCACTCCTCGGCTCGTGCGCCGTTCTCCGCCTGGAACACGCACGGTCCCGGCGTCACTCACCTGCGCATCTCCTTTTGCCCGTTGATCGGCATCAACCTGAAGGATATCCGCTGCCTGCTCGGGACCCTCCCTCATCTACACTGGATGGGCGGGCATCCTGGGCCCGTCAACCCTCCGCCTGCCATGCGTGCCTGGCCTTCCGTGCGCCATATAGCGATCCAACCCGTTCCCCCTGGACCCAAACCTACCTGTAGGCCCATGGGGCCGTTATACCGGGACCTCCGGTCTGAGCTGTCGTGGACGGTCGAGGAGGCGAACCGCGAGGGGATCTTCGAGTCTGCCCGCGTCCTGGACGCACGTCCGAGCGGGCTAAAGCGGTCTAGCAAGGAGTGGCATGCTGCTGTCAGAGACGCATGGGACATGGTGGTTACTAGCGGGGTTGATAGTGACTGGCTCACACTGGGAGAGGAAGACGAGGCGAAGGAGAAATGAGGTCTTACATTCGGAGTCGACTCGGAAGCTGGATATCGGGTCGGCAACGCTCGATCACTCGTCGGATTGCCTATGCTTGCATGCGAGGTTACCGACCTTCATATGACCTCGGACTCTGACTGGTGCTCTCCCAGTACGCATCGTTATTGTGATTCTCATTTCAATGCTTTTCGTTCACCGTCGTCGAGCTACAATGTCCTCATGGGAACCGGAGACACATATGCTCAGCAGACCAGCCACACGTCTCACACGTGTGGTTAAACCCCAATGGCATGAATCAGCCGGAGTCTACCAAAAAGATCACGACTCGCGACTGAACCCGAGTCAGCCTACACAGGTAGAGGTTAAGTACTTGCCTAGAGGCAGCAAAAAGTGTATCCAATACCCCCGGCGGGACTCGAACCCGCAACCTCCAGATGCCCCGGTCACTGACTGGTAGAAGTCTGACGTCATAGCCATTAGACAACGGGGGCTCGTATAAATGGTTGCAGCAACAGTATACATAGCGCACCGCATCACCCATCTCGGGTCCGAGACTAAATTGTCGCTGACACAGCTGCGTGTCTTGTAGCTGCCACTGCGACGGAGACGGAGAACGGAACTGCGATGCGTAAGGTAAGACTCGCGCACCGAAGACAGACGAAATCCCGGTGCATCGTAGCCAACAACTGCGTCAGCGTGGTGAGAGTTGGGAGAGAGAAAGGCCGGTGAACGCGATTGAGCGCGAGTCGGTCGTCATGGGCGAAGCACGATGTGTTGAGTGGAGTGGCCGCGGGAGCTGTTCGCAGCTTCCAAGTTCTGATCTCGAGGAGCCAACATGCCACACGCTCCTCCGTCATCGTTGGACGCAGCGAGCAGGCAGCCCACTGCAGCCTCCGAGTCCTGCCGTGGACGGTGCGGCGGGCGTGCTTACGAGACTGTGTTTATCGACCACTCATAGGAGGGCCGTCGGTAGATTCGATCACACCGGACAGGAGGCCTGATGTATAATCCCCGGACTCACGGCTTCCGAGTAAGTAGCTAGAACGGGCCTGAAGAAACGCGTGCCAAAGAGGAGTTGCCCGGTATGGGATGCTGATGGATGACCTGAGCGATGACGTCCTTGTCTCTCGCCGCGCGGCCACGCAAAAGGCAGAACATCTGCTCTTGAGGCTGCAGTACTTAATTCTTCCACCCCCGCGCCGCGACCGTAGACACCCTCTCCCCCGTCGCCTCTCCTGCTAACGACCATCACGACCATCCCGACCGCATACACCCACCCCCACCTCCGCGCCGCCATGGCCTCACTGAAGAAGGTGCTCTCGAAGGTCGTGTCGCATTCGCGATCGTCCTCCATGAACAGCAACTCGCGCAAGGTTTCCAACGGCGACACCAGCGGCGTCGCCAACGGAAACGCTGAGAAGGGAAAGCACACCACGTTCGACGCCGCCCAGAAGCAGCCCAAGGCGGAAGGTCACGATATCCAACGCCCCAACAGCGTGATCGACGGCCAGAAGTTGTCGTTCACGGAGCAGAAGGAGGAGCGCAAGGAGGAGCGCGAGGCGCACGATGACGAGGAGTATCGCGCCCGCAAGGAGCGCATGAGGAAGGCCCACGAAGAGGTACGTACGCGCTCTTGTTCGCTCACACTCGTGACCGCTTTGCGTCTAGTCGATACGACCGAGACACATCGCGCAATTCTACCGGCCTCAATCAGGCTGGCGTGAAACTCACCTCACTCTCCAGGATCCTCTCCGCGACAACTGGGGTGACCTCGATCCGAACATGCCTCAGCCGCGCCTAGGTGAGTCGCCGCGCGGAGATTGCTGTTACACGCGGAGGCTAACTTTGCAGTAGAGCGACCTGTCGATCATGTTCGCGACATCTTCAACAAGAGCGAAGGCGACCGTGTCGTCTTCCGTGCGCGTGTCCACCACATCCGTCCACTAGGTACGCGCTACTTGCTGGTCGCGCTGCGCTAGTCGCTTACGGGAACCCAGGCACGAAGATCGTCTTTATCATTCTCCGGCATCAGTATACGACCGTGCAAGGTGTCCTCACAGAGGAGCCAGATCGCGTCTCCCAGATTATGGTTCGCTGGGCGGAGGGGCTCGCACGAGAGTCGATTGTGCTCGTAGAGGGCATAGTGCAGCGTCCGCCGCCAAACCAGGAGGAGGTCCACAGCACAACTATCCACGAATACGAAGTCAAGATCTGCAAGGTGCGCGCATACAGTCAGGTTCTTGAGATGCGTGACGCTGAGCGGTGTTGTTCCAGCTACATATCATCGCAGCTCCCAGCATCACCCTGCCATTCCAGGTCGAGGACGTATCGAGACCAAAAGAGTACTACGAGAGGGTATGTGGTCATCGCATCGTAGTCGAACGGGCGTCTCACCGGTATCGCACTGTAGGAGGATGCGCAGTTCACCCGTGTCGGGGAGCGGACGCGTCTCGACAACCGAGTCCTGGATTTACGCGTAGGTCATACAACTTGTCATCTCACCTGCGGCTAACTTCGTGGGCAGTCCCCCGCGTCGCAATCGATATTCCGCATCCACGCGGGTGTCTGCGATTTCTTCCGCTCCTTCCTCACGGAGAAGGGGTTTGTCGAAATTCACTCCGCCAAGCTCCAAGGGTCCGCCACGGAGTCGGGTGCTGCAGTGTTCAAGGTCGACTACTTCCGGCGACCCGCATACCTCGCGCAGAGTCCCCAGCTCGCCAAGCAGATGTGCATCGCAGCGGACATGGAGCGCGTCTTCGAGATCGGTCCCGTCTTCCGAGCCGAGAACTCCAATACCCATAGACATTTGACAGAGTTCACCGGTTTGGATCTGGAGATGGCGATCGACAGTGACTACCACGAAGTCATGGACATGTTGGACGAGCTTTTGAAGTTCATCTTCAAGGGGCTGCAGTCCAAGTTCAGGGCTGAGGTGCGTACGCTCTCGAGACGGCTCGTATTTACAATTGACAACCCTTCGCACAGATCGAGACCGTCAAGAAGTACTACCCTCACGATGATCTCGTTATCCTTGACGAGACGCCTCGCATCAAGTTTGCGGACGGGATCCGCATGCTCAACGAGTCCGGCTGGACCGAGGATGACGGCCGTCAGCTCTCCGAGGACGAGGATCTCAGCACCCGCGCGGAGGTTCGACTCGGACAGCTCGTGAAAGAGAAGTACGGCGCGGACTTTTACATCATCGACAAGTTCCCCCTCGAAGTGCGCCCGTTTTACACCATGCCAGATCGCGAGAACCCGGTGAGTGCGGCTTTGTCTGCCGTGTAGCCAGTCGCTGACGAGTATGTGCGCCATACTAGAAATGGTCCAATTCTTATGATTTCTTCCTGCGCGGTGAGGAGATCTTGTCTGGCGGTCAGCGTATACACACCGCACCCTTCCTCGAAGAGCGCATGAAGGAGGTCGGCGTCGATCCAGACTCCATGAAGGAGTACGTGGACGGCTTCCGCTGGGGCTGCCCGCCGGTGAGTCATCCGGGCCTTTCTTCCGTATCCCTCCGCGATTGTTGCTGACGCTTCCGACAGCATGGTGGCGGTGGCGTCGGCCTGGAACGGATCGTTATGCTGTTCCTGAAGCTCGGGAACGTCCGCTGGGCGAGCCTGTTCCCGCGCGACCCCCGCAGCTTCCTCAATCGTGGTGTGGACCACGCCGAGGCTGCGTTAGTAGCTGCGAACACGCTCATTTTGCATGGTCCTGAGTCGTCAACGTTCCCGCCCGGGAAAAAACATGGCGAGTTGCCGCCGTTGGAGAACGTACGTCTATCGCCCTGCGGTTTGGCATCGTTTCGCAGTGCTAAGATGATTCTGCAGCTTATCGCGAAGTACGGTGACGCGACTAACACGAGCTGGGTGGATCCTGCCTGGACCGTATGGCGGGATAAGGCCACAGGTGCGGCGGTCGGCTACATCCCGCAGGACGGGTTCGCCGTCACCTTCGGCAACCCTCTCTGTACGGCCGATCAGATCCCACGTGTCGTCAAGGCGTATCTGGCGTTCCTGCACGAGGAGGGGCTCAAGCCCGTGTGGTGCTGCATCGACAAGACGACCGAACACTATCTCGCCCAGGAGCTCGGGTGGGGCGCTGTCATCGCTGTTGCCGAGGAGCGCATCAACCCCACCGAGGTCGACCCAGCGGAGACGGACAAGACTGTCCGGCGGAAGATCCACCGCGCCGAGCGCGAGGGCGTGAAGATTGTCGAGGTTGGCGATATGGACGACCATACCCGCCAGCAGCTTGAGCAGCGCTGCAAGGATTGGGAGGCAAATCGCAAGGGCACACAGATCCACCTGACGGGTGTGCGGCCGTTCGACGACATGCAGCACCGGAAGTACTACTACGCTATGGACAAGGAGGGCAAGGTTCGTTTGGTCGGCGTTGGTCTCAAGTGGGTGACAGATTGCTGACTGCGTTTCGTCGATGCAGCCTTGCGCGATGGTCGTCCTTGCACAGCTCGCCCCGAAGCACGGCTTCCAGATCAAGTGGGCGCTGGAGTTCCCTGGGGCACCGCTCGGCGCGATCGAGTACATCCTGACGTACGTGATCAAGAAGCTGGGCGACGCGGGCGTGAAGAGCGCAACGTTTGGCGCGGGCGCGACGGGCAAGCTCGAGGCGGCGGACAACATCCATGGGTTGCGCTTCAAGACGCTCGAGAAGGCGTACAACGGGCTGTCGACGACGTTCAACTTGATGGGCAAGGGCGACTTCCGGAGCAAGTTTGGGACGTGGCACGATCCGGTGAGTGTTTTCCGCTCCGCGGGCGTGGCTGTCAGGGAGCGTCGGGCTGACGGACTGGGTGTGTGTTTGCAGTTGTACATTTGCTACCCGAAGGGCGGGCTCGGCGTGAAGGGCATTGAGGCGATTATGTCCATGCTCCAGAAGCCAAAGTAGAGTACACGTCCGTAGGCGGGTTGCAATCCTTGCGAGACCAAGCTGCTACCTCCGATATCACCTCACCTCAACTCACGACCGGGATACTTGCTCATGATACGACCCCTCACTCTCTCCCATCGTACGGCCTCGTCATCTTCTCCACCCACGCTAATACCATCCATGGGACTGACGTGCACGGTGCACCCGTATACCAGTTGGGGACCCTGAGGTGCACCGACACGGTCTCTTGAGTCGGAGGGCTATAGTTTACACGTTACTATACTGCATACACGGCGGTAGTCGCGTAGTTTTTGGTTCTGTGTACGGGTCTTATGCGTATGATTGATTGATTGAAGTTCTTGTATCGTGTATCTTAGAGTACTTGTTGTAATGCATGCTCTCGAGACAATTTTGCTGGAGACCGACTCCAATGAGTCAGGACGGATGGGATGTTTGACGCTCGAAGCGGCTGGCCACCGGCGTGGCAGTTTCAAGCTTCAAGCTTCAAGCTTGACTTCGTGCTACCACCATGTACCTATAAATCCGCGCTTCCACAGGTAGACTTCGCAAGCCGTTCAGCTTGAGATTGCGTAGTGTCGGG